AATAACTGCTCTAATTCTAAAAGTAAACTAATATATAAAGGCATTCTATCTATTAAAGAAAAAGTACTTAACTTAGGCTTATTAGATAATAGTAATACTTACTTAGAATACTATTTATCTTTAGAAGTATACCTAGCTAATAGACTAAAGCCTAGTCTATACTACTATAAAAATATTATATTATTAGCTACCTACTTAGCTAGAAATTTAGAAGATAGAGATTTATATAGCTTTAAGCTATTAAAAGGAAATAAAAATACTTACTATTTAGTAGAAAACTTTACTAAAACTATTTTTACTATTAAAAAAGAAACTTTTTATATTAAAGGCTTAAACTTAATACTAGAATTAGACTTAAATTATATTTATAATAAGATAAAAGTTTAAAGTTTTCTAGTTATATAAGGTATTAAGGTTTCTTTTATATAAAGTATTAGGAGTTCTAAGGGTTTTTTTTACTTCGAATATTAAAGGTTTAAAATTTCTATTATATTAAACTAAAAAACCTATAAATTAGTATATAGTTTAGATATAGTTTTAATCTATACTATTATACTTCTATATTTTTTTTAGAACTACTAAATACTAATTACTAACTACTAACTATTAACTAACCCTAACTATATACTAATACTTTATTAGATTTAAAAAGTATATAACTATTAAGTTTTTTATATATATTAAATATATTTCCTTATTACTAATTTAATTCCTCTATAGCTAAATAAACTTTTTTTAAAACTAAATAAATATCTTCTATTACTAGTTAATATTTCTTAACTACTACTTAAAATTAAAAGAGTTTAGTAGATTTCCCCTATTATAAGTAGTAAAAAAGTTAAATACTAGCTATAGAAACTTAAATACTAGCTATAAAAACTTAAATACCGGATATAAAAACTTAAATACCGGATATAAAAACTTAAATACTAATAGTAGAAAAAATTCCTAGTAGTAGAAACTTAAATACCGGTAGTAAAAACTTAATTACTAGTATTTAAGAAACTTAATATATAGGTAGTAATTAAGGAATTTAATTATATAATTAGTAACTATATAGTATATAGAGTATAAAAATAGGTTTTATAGTAAAGTACTAGGTAGATATCTTAAATACTAGTAGTAGTACGTAATATAAAAAATTTAATTCTTTTTTCTACTTTTAATATAAAGGTATATATACGTATAAATAGTAATATATATACCCTTCTACTAACCTTAAACCTTACTAATATCCCGGAATTTATACTATTTTAGAACCTAGGCCTTATAAAAAAACCCGGATTAATCCTAAAAAATATATTAAAATAGCTTACTTTATAGCAACGCTTATAAAGCTACTATATATTTCCTATAGCGGCGTATAAACTAAAAAAATATAAGGAGTTATATACTATAGAAAATAAGGTTTTTACCTAAATATTATAGATAAACAGTTTTATTTTATAAATAAAACCTAGATAGCACTGCTATATATACCCTAATATAAGCTATACTAGCCTAATAGAATATAATAATAATAATAATATATAAGGCTATAAAAGCCGTATTAATTTTCTAATATTTATAAGACTCGCTTATATAAGCATATAATAAAGGGGCCTTTTTAATAGGCCTACTTTAAGACTTTCTATAACTAAAAAAGCGCTTTAAAAAATAGTTTATTTTATTTTTCTATATAGTCCGCCTTTATAGCATCTATAATATAATAGAGTTTATATTAATTCCAACCTAAGTTATTTTAACGGAAAATAAAATTATAGGCTATACTTTTTAAACTATAAGTTTATAACTAACTTATAGAAAAATATATTTATTTTTATTCCTTTTTTATATTGCTTAGGTTGCAGTACTATAACCTAGAATTAATAACTTATATACTAAAAAGCTACTCTCTAAATATTAGCTATAGAAAAGAACAAGCTTAATTACTACCCCCCTATTCTCTCCGTATTACCCCCCTTTTCTCTTCCTGCCACCCCCCCTATATCTAGCCTAGCGCCGGCCCGTATTAATATTATTCCACTAATTATATTTACTTACTATTTATACTTAATAAGGAATTTATATTAACTGCGCACTTATAATATATTAACACCACGTTCTCTATATTACTACCCTTACTACTATACCGCTCCGGCCGCCCCTCTAGGGCCGCTATGCATCCGTAGATAAGGGTATAAAGTCCGTTAACAATTAGGTAAAAAAGGAAGGATACGCGATTGTTAAATATAATAATAAAATGGATAAGCGCACTCCACCTTAGGTGCGGAAGGTGCTTATTTATTGCGATTATGCGGGTATATATAAGCCGGCTAATAGGAAGAAGAACACCTGTATAAAGAAGTCTAATTACCTTATAAAAGGAGCTTTTATAAGAAATTTATAGCTAAGTAATTAGTTTTTTAAAGTTAAGGTTTCTATTTATAATTATAAGCCGTTTAATACTAATAAAAGGACTCCAGCCGTATACTAAGATCTAGATAAGGATATAATTTAAACTATATATAATTAGCTTAATAGAGGCACGCCTGTTAGTGCTATTTTTAATAACCTACTTACTAAGGGTAAGAATATAACGATGCAGGACCTATATAATAAAAGATAGGAGTAGAAGAAAATAAAGCTTTAAAGGCTTACTCTAACTTAGGCTATACTTAAGGTGCTTAAGGAACACGGCGGTAATAACCCGGACGCTTATTACTACTATAAATACAAGCTAGATAAAGTAAACTATATTAAGTATCTATACTTTATATATCCTAAAAGTGTTTAGATATTCCAGAGGAATCCTAATATTATTCTTCTTAACTGCACCTATAAAATAAATAAGTTTAAGATACCGCTTTTCTATATTAACGGCGTTACTAACTAGGGTAGGAACTATAAGCTAGGCTATTATTTCCTTCTAGAAAAAGAAGAGGGGGACTATATCTTTATAGTACGTGAGCTTTATCTTATATACTAGCGCCTAGGAGTTTCGCTAGGCGTTTTTATTATAGATAAAGAGCTAGCACTTAAAAATGCGCTGGCTAAGTTCTTTCCTACTGTTTCTTAACTTCTATACAAATAGCACGTGCAGAAAAACATCGCCAGCAAGGCTATAGCTATCTAGAAGAACGATAAGTAAGCAGTAACTAATACTATAGATCTATAGAATGCAGCACGTGCCTTTTAAAATCTAATAATAGCTGAGATTAAGGCTATATAGAAAGATCGAAAGAAATTTATTAATAAGCTTAACTTCTGCCTAGCAAAACCTATAGAAGATAAGTTTATAGCCGCTTAGAATAAGATAAAATTAGATTATACGTATAAATAACTCCTAATTAATTACCTTACTAAAAAGTGGTGGCTATATAGAAAGGAGATTGCTACATATTATACTAGCCTTCTGCCGCACTTCGGCAACACTATAATCTTACGGCTCGAAGGTTTAAACGGCAGCATTAAATTATATCTTCAGATCTCGACAGGTGACTTATATAATGTAGTTACACTACTATCTTAATACATTCACCGCTAAGGTGTAGAGCTAAAGGACTAGCTTGGCCGACAACGTAGAGCTCCTCAGCACGAGGTAAAGCTGCCCGAATTTAGTGAGGTTATTGGAAAAGTTACTGAGCAGGGCCTCCGATTGATCGCCAAGCAGATCAAGAAGGCTAAGGATGACGATTTTAACCTGATATGCAACAGAACATTTAGAGGGACGTACGGCATGCCATGCTGTCACGAAATACACAGAAAACTGCACGCTATATCGATAGCTGAGTATAAAGTTGTGCTAGAGGATGTTCATCAACACTGGTGGTTCAATCGTCCTGTTCCAAACGAGGTGGACCTTCCTGTAGATCCTCTCCTTCT